ACACCCTTTGTTTGAGTTGATTGCATGTTTTGGTGTTGTTTTGCACTTCATATTAACACCTAAAGCTCTGCAACCTCCCTCATTTCTTCACTCTTTATTTGCTTTGAAGGTTGTTTCAAACTTGGCATTCTTTAAGCTTGAGATTGAGGTCCATGCTTAATGGTTTAATCCTCTTTTGAGGGTTCATTACCAACGATATGAAACTTCTCTCATGCCTTAAACTACCCCTTGGTTGACACTTCTTTCACTTTAGAAAACTCTTATCAATGGACTTAATTGACTATGTAATGGTTGGTAATTAAAATGAGTAAATAAAAGTGGCAAGTAAAATTGTGAAAGTTAAGCATTTGTTTGTGTTGCATGTATTCAATCGGACATTAATTGAACACAAGGAGAATTGAGGCATTTCATACTCAAAGTGATGAAATGTGCCAAATTTCTAAGGTCTCTATTGCCCTTGATCATGCATGATAGGGTGATGGTTGTTAAGTCTTATTTGTGCATCCATTAACTTGTACATCTTGGTTCTTTGGCCATCATGCAATGAAATTGCTTATTTGGTGGTTTTGGAGCCAAGTGTATCACTCCTTTGAGATTGTTTTGATGATAAGGAGGGATACAAAGTACAAACAACCTATGAGAATACCCTCTCTTTGCCCTGTTTGCTTTTTGTTGCAGCAAGGAAAGGTGTGTCATTAGTGGCCGACCGACCACTACTACTGGCTGGTAGGCCATCAGTGTTGGACGGCAACCCCTCAGTGGTAGCCAGCCGGCCACCATTTCTGGCCTGCTAGCCACTAATGAATTTTGAGCAATGCGCTTATGAGGCATGGCAGAGTTGATCTGGAGAAGGAAATAGTGCAAAGGTTGTGCAAACAGAGGCTTTCGAGGGCTGACAGCGGATGTTCTTCGGGTGGAAACCGAGCATGCATAGGCCTCCCTCGCTTCTCGAGATGAGTTATCTAGTTAATTAGTTTAATTTAATTAGCCTATGATTAGCCTATTTTGTAATTCAATTAATTTGTGTTGTAATTATTCAATTGTAACTAGTTCAAAATGTTGTAATAATTAGTTTAGCTATTTATTTCATTTTGGCTTAAATAGCTTAGCTTTAATTAGTTTAGCTAATTAGTTTTGCTTTATTCATTCGGACTCTCCTTCGTGAGAGCGTAATGTAATAATGTGTATATCTTCCAACCCCATGTCTTTCTCCCTTTTATTTACCCGCTTTTAATGGTTAGATTAGGAACATGTTTCAATTAGCATACCTTGTGCTTGCATCTATTCATTCGTATTGCATGCACTGAGGCTCGGTGCATCATTCAAACTACATTGTCATTTCAATAATTCTTTGAATACATGTCAACTGCATGTTATTTAATTGAATCATATGTCATATTAGTAGCCGAGCCTATTAGTTGCATTCTTTGCATGCGTTGCATCAGACATCTTGCATAGATAGGAATCATGCATAATTTTTAGCTTGGAGTACTAGGTGAGTTTTTAATGCTTTAGTATACTTGCATGAGTATAAGTGATTGCCATGTCTAGCATGCTTGCCATGAGACTAAATGCTTACTTGCTAAACTGCTTGAATGCCTGTGGATGAAGGCTTATTGCCTGAATTGGAACGATTCAACGAATGTACATTTTAAGCCCACTACATCTAGTGGAAAATTAGTTTTAAGCCCACTTTGTTTAGTGGCAAACTTGCAAACTTTAAGCCCATTTGAGGTGACAAATTCAAACCCTTTTCGCAAAACAAATATGAAATTGAATTGTTCCAATTTGGGCAAACTAGTCTATACTTGCTTGTGCGCATCACATAGTAACGCTAGTCTAATAACCAGAACAAGAGCATATAATGTTGATAAAAATCATATCATGATTAGTAGAGGCCGATCTTTGATTAGGCGAGTGAGGGTGCTCAATTCATGACTTTCCCCTCTCGTACCTAAGTTCTCGAGCCGAGACAACTTTGGTGATGACAGACATGTGGCCTTTGGCATGAGTCATGGGTTTCCTAAATTTTTCTAAAATAAAAAACATTTAGGTGGCGGCTCTATATCTAGCGAAGCAGTCCAATTTTGGCATTTTTGATCCTAAAATCAATTTTCCAAAAAAACTTGCCAGATTTTGACTCTTTGGTGTTTATCAATTTCATATTGCACTTGTGAGATTAGATTCAGAACCACGGGAGTCCAAACTGTAGGGCTTTTTTTCAAACCTCTCGAAAGGAGGGGACGCGAAAAAGTTGAGCTACGCTACACTTGCTCTACCTCATTATATTCCTATTGGTTCCATTTATATCAATCTTCCTCGCGTTCCTACTGTTGCATCTGCTCTTTCTGTTCCTACTGTTGCCTCTGCACCTCCTGTTGCCTTTGTTCCTCCTGTTGCTCCCTCTCATCCTATGGTTACCCGTAGTAAGTCTCACAAACCCTCTTATTTCACTACTACTTCTCTCCTCTCCACTGAACCTACAACCACTCCAGAGGCCTTACAGTCTCATGTTTGGTTAGCAGCCATGACTGAAGAGTTTCAAGCTCTTCAGAGGCAATCCACTTGGGATTTAGTTTCTCTTCCTCCATGCAAATCTTCAATAGGATGCAAATGGGTTTTCAGGATCAAGAAAAATTATGATGGGAGTATTGCTAGATACAAAGCTAGGTTGGTTGCCAAAGGTTATCTCCAACAAGAAGGCACAGACTATCATGAAACTTTCAGCCATGTTGCTAAACAGCCCACCATTCGCATTCTGTAACGTCCCGAAATAATTCAACATGAACTACTCACATTAATAAGCATTCACAACAAAATGACAATAATCTCTCCATCTTCACATATATAATAAATGGGTTCAATACAAAAGTTCCACATGCGGTATACATTCACAACATACAAGGATACATGAATCTATAGCATGTGAAGCATCAAATCTCAAAATAATAAAATGCCCTTAAGGGCTTACATCTTCCAAGGCAATAGCCCGGTTACACAAAATGGTCTCTCGGACCCAAACACATTAGCCCTTGGCTTACAAAAAGATCACAACAAAATAAGAGCTATGTACTCTTTACAATTATCCACACTCTCAACTTGGCGGGATCACCACATCTTTACCTGCACCAAAGTCCCATAGGGGTGAGCATAAAGTTCAGTAGAGAATTCTAACAAAGTATATACAGTTATGCAATTCTCAATAAAAATGCAAATGTTAATGCTACGCCATGCTTTCTTAAAGAAAATTTCATTTCATGTTCTTCTTAAAATTTCCATTTCAATAAAAGTTAGCAATCTCAACACATTTCAAAAACTTCCAATTTTAATCAATAGGGGCGGTAAATACGACACTGGTAATCCCTAGGCTGGTGTCTGCAAGTAGACTCTACGAGTACTACCAAACTGTCATTTTTATCGATATTAACCGAAAGGCTCGACACCTATCCGCGCGGTTTTCTGGTCTTTCACCATGGACACTCAGGCCAACTTATCAAACTCAACTACACCCCCTATCCGGACTTATCACGTATTTACCCCATTCACATTACCAAAGTTCTCATTCCAATATATGTTATTTCTTTAAAGTAAACATTTTCCAACACATGTCAAGATGCACAATAATGACAATAAATCGATTGAAAATGTGATGCAAATAATTCCTAACTCATAGCATTTCTTTATTTCAAAATGTCTCAAAAGGAATATCCACAATCACCTTCACAATTACCCCTTTCAATGTTCCTTCACAAAACCACCATATGTTATAAACACATATTTACAACTTCTCATTTCACAAGCCTCAACAATCAAATTCCTTCAAAATTACATATGATGTTTCCACATATTAATCTCCAATAGTTACAATTCTTATAACCCATGGTGTATCACAATTTTCCATTTACAACATTACATGTTCAAGTGTTAGTGATGATGTTAAAATGACATCTCATCTCTCAAACATTAAGTAAATTGCCATTTTGCTAAACATTTGATAAAACTTATTCTCATTCATCCCCTTGATACAAGAAAACAAATAATTTCTAGGGCACTTTCCATTTTTCCAAAATCCCAATGTCTAGGGTTTTCATTAAAAACAAACCTTCCTCATTTTTTTTTTCAAGAGAAACTCCATCAACTATTTTTGTCGTAAGTTTAATAGAGGGAAACCCTCAAGAAATTGTAAAAAAATTGAGTTACAAACCCACATTCAAAACTCTCTGCATTTAAATCAAAATCTAAAAACCAACACAAAACTTTCAAGGACACCTTTAAATCAACATTAATGTGGCAAAACTTGTATTTATGACTCAAGAAATCCCTACCTCAAAGTGTTGATAATGAAAAGAAGATGAAACCCTAGTTTCAAGGAGAAGAGGGTCTTGGATTTCCACCACACCAAATGAAGTCCCAACTTTAGATCTTCAAGATTAGAGGAAGATGATGATGATCTTGACCCAAAAATTTGCAAAATCAAAGAGGTGTGAGGAAGTTTCTAGAGAGAAGGGGGAGAAAAATAGGGTTTAGAGTGAGAGAGAAATGTGTAAAAAGAGTGATACATTCGGACCAAAAACATTAAAAAAAAAAAACGGAGTTTCGAGCTGACAGTCTACCGCACGTGCATCACCCTTCCCCGCACGTGCGGAGTGTCTCTCCTGCACGTGTGGCCTTCATCCCCGCACATGCGGGGATCCTCTCCCGCACCTCTGCCCGCTCGTGCATATAAAGCAATATGCAAGCCAAACAAACCCCTAAATTTCGCACGTGCAACCTCACTCCCCGCACGTGCAACCCAAGGCCCTCGCACGTGCAGCCCCTGACCTCCAGCCCAGAATTTTCCGACTTCACCCCCAGGCACTCCAAACCCAACCATGCATTCTCCGGAACAGGTGAAATTCCACACCGAACGAGACAAGAATAAGAACTAAATTTTGAGAATTATTTCCGGATGTTTCAAACCCAATAAGAGCGAGAAAAGAATGGAATGAAAACGAAAGAAAATGAAAGAAAACAAGACCTGGTCGTCACACATTCTCTTATGTCCGGCTCTTCAATTCCACTGGCCCATTAGACAGCTTGACATCTCTAATGCCTTTTTACATGGAGTTCTTGAAGAGGAGGTCTACATGGCACAACCTCAAGGTTTCATTAATTCTCAATTCCCTCATCATGTGTGCAAGCTTAAAAAGGCTTTATATGGCCTCAAACAAGCTCCTCGAGCTTGGTATTCTACTTTCTTCTCTTTTCTTATTTCTCAGGGCTTCCATAACAGTCATTCTAATTCCTTACTCTTTATTAAAAAGAGTCAGTCTTGTATTACTGTTCTCTTGATTTATGTTGATGACATTCTTCTTACTGGGAGTGATTCTAGTATTATAGCTAATTTGGTTCATAATATGCATGAGGTTTTTTCTATGAAAGAACTTGGTCCTGTTAGCTACTTTCTTGGTGTTTTTGTTCAGCACCATGCCTCAGGTTTTTTCTTATCTCAACACAAGTATGCAAGTGATTTACTAGTTAAAGCTGGCATGGTTAACTGCAAACCGTGTGTCACTTATGTTGCTCTTAAGCCCTCTTTTTCTCCTGGTGATACTCTTTCCTTTACTCAACTTGAATTATATAGGAGTGTGGTTGGTGCCCTTCTGTATCTCACAATTACCCGACCAGATCTGTCCTTTGCTGTTAACCAAGCTTGTCAACATATTCATTCTCCTACTGTGGCCCATTTTGCAGTTGTCAAAAAGATTCTCAAATATGTCAAAGGCACTTTAGCTCATGGTCTCACGTTCAATCCTGGTCCATTTACTCTTCATGCCTATACAGATTCGAACTGGGTTGGTGACAGTATAGATAGGAGGTCTACCTTTGGGTTTTTATCTTTCTTGGTTCCAACCTCATTTCCTAGTCTGCCAAAAAGCAACCTACAGTTTCTCGTTCATCTACTGAAGCTGAATATAGGTCCATGGTTAACACTGCTGCAGAACTGTGTTGGCTTCAACAACTCTTGGCTGATTTGTCTATTTCTCTTTCCTCTGTTCCTCTTTTATGGTGTGATAACATCTCTACCATGTCTCTTGCCTCAAACCCAATTTTTCACTCCAGGTCCAAGCATATAGAAATTGACTGTCACTTTATTCGAGAAAGGGTTGCTTTCATGAAAATTGATCTTCGTTATATTCCTACCACAGATCAATTGACAGGTCTCTTCACCAAGGCTTTGACTTCTTCTCGGTTTCATTATCTCACAAACAAGCTTTAAGTGCTACCCCACCCTCTTAACTTGAGGGGGGATGATAAGAGTATTGAGCCATCATCAACTAGCAAGCCACGTTTGCAATAGTTCAAGACTCAAGATTCAGTTGTAACAATAAAGTAACAATGCCTAGTTAGTTAGTGTGTTAGTGAGTTTGCTAATTTCTTATCTGTAACAGAATTAGACTAGTATAAATATCACATACTGCACTCTAATAGTTTTTTTTAATGAGAATCAGTTTCTTCTCAGAGAACATAAGATTCACTTTATATGAGTGAAACAATTTACTTTTCCTTCTTTTCCCGATTTGAGATTGTAAAATAAAAGTTAAATGGAAGCTAACCAATAAGAATTATCTTAATTGTTTAAAATTAAGAAATTTCAATAATTTATATAAATTAGAGCATAAGATTCACTTTATGTAAATGAAACAATTTACTTTTTCTTTCTTTTTTTTTTTTTGCCAATTTGGGATTGTAAGATAAAAGGTAAATAGAAGTTAGCTAATGAAACTTTTCTTAATTGTTTAAAATTAAGAAAATTCAATAATTTTAGAATGAGAGTTTGGAACTTCTAGAAGGTTTTTCCCTTAAAACCCTCTTTATAAGATTAACTTAATATAAATGAAACAACTCACATTTTCTTTCTTTTCCTGATATGGGATTGTAACACTTTATGTAAGTAAAACAACTCAATTTTTCTTTCTTTTCTCAATGTGAGATTGTAATTATTTTAAAGTTAAATATTATGAGAGTTTCAAAATCTCATACAAAATTATTTTTAAAATCAAAATGTCTATGTGAGATTGTAAAATAGAAGTTAAATGGAAGTTAGTTAATGGGGATTTTTTTAATTGTTTAAAATTAAGAAATCAAAAAAATGACTATGGGGATATTAATCATAGGGTTTCTCACTAAAAATCTTCTTTTTCTTATATAAATGGGAGCATAATATTCATTTTATGTACGTGAAACAATTCACTTTTTCTTTCATGTGGAATTGTAAAATAAAAGGTAAATGAAAGCTAACCGACGAGAATTTTTCTTAATTGTTTAAAATTAAAAAAATTTAATAATTAAGTATTTGGAGCTCTTAGAAGGCTTCTCCCTAAAAATTTCATTTTCTTTATATAATATATAGATAGATAGTGAAATAAACTTTACTTTTTCTTCTTCTCCCGATGTAGGATTATAAAATAAATCATAAACTAATTAGAATTTTATTTTTATATGGTTAAATGGAAGTTAGCCAATGGAAATTTTTTTAATTGTTTAAAATTAATAAAATCAGTATGAGAAATCGCAATTAAACCGATGAATCGATCAAATTCAAAATGGTTCAACCTAATTGATTAGGTCAAATACCCAACCAACTTATACAAAAATTAATTAATTAAAATTTTTAAATGTTATTTTAATTTTAAAATTTAAACTGTCTTGAATTGAAGTATACACTATATTACATTATTACGATGCACTTTATATAAGTGAAACAACTCAGCTTTTTTTCTTTTTTTTTTCTTTTTCTAATGTGGGATTATAAAATAAAAGTTAACAATTATTTGGACAGAAAGTTTATTTCTAATCAAGCAATCTCAGTCTTTCAATCTTTAATCAAATCAATCTTAAGTTTATTTCGAATCAAACAAATCTAATCAATATATTTTGATAAAACCGTTAAAATCGCAGTTAAACCAACAAATTAATCAAATCAAAAATGATTTAACCTAATTGGCTAGGTCATAATTAATTAATTAAAACTTTTAAAATTTAAACTATATTGAATTAAAACATGCACAACACTACAATATTAAATGGGATGGAAGTATAAGATTCATTTTATATGAGTAAAATAATTCATTTTTTTCCTTCTTTTTTCGATGTGGGATTATTAAATAAAAGCTAACCAATGGAGATTTTCTTAATTGTATAAAATTAAGAAAATCAAGAAAATTAGTATGAGATATTGAAACTCTCACAAGGCTCCTCACTAAATAGGATGAGAGTATAAGATTCTCTTTATATAAGTAAAACAACTCATTTTTTTCTTTCTTTTCTCGAACTGTGATTATCAAATAAAAGCTAACCATTAGAGATTTTATTAATTATTTAAAATTAAGAAAATCAAGAAAATTAGTTTGAGATATTGAAACTCTCACAAAACTTCTCAGTAAAAATACTATTTTCCTTATATAATATATAGATAGATTATCTAAATTGTTAGGGTTAATTACACTAAGATGCCTTCAACTATTTGTAAATATCAACTTATCCCTCTCATCTATGCATTTATACATTTTGACCTTTCAATTACGAAAATCTATCCTTCTAAGCTATTTTCTGAATGGGTGTATTTTACAATTTTTCAGAATAGAAAATGTCAATATAAACAAATTAATAAATAAAGGAATTAAAATAATATTTTATAATAATTGATGTTGTCTTTGTGTAATTAACCCTAATAGTCATTGTGCTCTAACCAGTAGGATGATACGTGCTCAAAGTTGACATTTTGGAGATTAGGTTTTCTTTTCTTTTTTTTTATTGGTAAAATAAAAATTCATTGATGTTAAGTAACAGTATAAGATGTACATATAAATCACATCAAGAAAATTGAAACGACCAAAACAAAAACATCATAACTTGAAATTCATATCTCAACTAGGTTGAAATATGAAACAAAGCCAATCAAATGTAAAGTCAATGGCCAAGAGTAACGTAAAAAATAAAAAATAAATAAAAATCTAGATAAATCAAATCAGAACAAGGCAAACAAAATAGTCCCAAAGCAAAAAGGTAATAGATAAACGCTACTCTTGAAAGTTAAGACCATGATTAGAGTGTATTCCACTATTTAAAATATGTAACTCTAACTCTAGCCACACTCCTTGAAACACACCACTCCTTATTAGATCAAATAAGAGCTTCCTCTTGAAACCCCCTCCTCATCCTTCTAGAAAATACAATTTCTTTAGATTAACACACTAGATAAATCAAATCAGAACAGTGCAAACAAAACACTCCCTAAGTAAAGATTATGGTAGACAAACACTACTATTGAAAGTAAAGACCATGATGGGAGTGGATTCCATCCTTTGAAATAACTCTAATCCTGGCCATATTTCTTGAGACACACCACTCTTTATTGGATCAAATAAGAGTTTCTCCTTGAAAACCCCCTATCCTTCTAGAAAGTACGTTTCTTTGGATCTTAACTTTCAAGAATAGTGTTTGTCTACGATCTTCTTGTTTAGGGAGTGTTTGGTTTGCCTTATTCTGATTTGATTTGTCTAGTGTATTCTTTTATTTGACTCTACATTTGAATAGTTTTGTTTCATATTTCAATCTAGTTAAAATATAATTTTCAAACTATGATGTTTTTATCTTGACTTTTTGTATTTTTTTGATGCAATTTATTTGTACATCTTATACTGTTATTTTATATCAATAAATCTTTATTTTTCCGATTAAACTTCTTTTTTTTTAAAAAAAATATATATATATATATTCTAATCTCCAAGATGTCAACTTTGAGCACGTATCATTCTAGTGGCTAGAGCACGATGACTATTATCCTTGGAGATTAGTGTTATCGCAAGTGTCAAAGAGGGCAAAGGTCCACGTGTACTTAAGTACTGAGTCAACATCCACCACCATCAACCACAAATTTGATGGGATAAGTTAAAAAAGATTCAGTAATGATTGAGTCTATTAATTTTAGTATTCTAATAGAGTACTATTGACATGGTAATGAATAAAAAAAATAAAATAAAAATAAATTAAGATCAAAACATCACATTACTGTAGATGAAGCCTATTACTAATTTATTAAAGCTACCTTTAGAGCTCAAAAATTAGAGTTCCAAAACATTTTTCAAAAAGATTTCATTTCAACCGTAAAAAATATGAGCCATGCAGTGTTAGTTGTTGGATATAGATGCTATATAGAACCAAAGGTATACACACTTTTCAAGTGTCACAATGTGTTTAGTATTTTTACACAAGCAGTATTACAGGCTTAGAAAATTTACTTTAATTATTTTTTAAAAAAATAATAATAATATGTCGTCGAAATTTATTTTAAGTTTGAATCTGTTAAATTCAGACTACACATTACTTGTGTTAATAAATTTCAAGATAATAAAGTTTTTGAGTTCTTTAACTTTCTCTTTTGACACAATTTAGCCACCAATGTAGAAATAAATTACAAAATTTACAAAGAACAAAATTTTATCAGATTTATTAGTAAGTTTACTTTTGAAAAATCATGTTCGTTTTTGTGAATTATGTGTCCATTTTGGTGCCGTTTAATAACACTTACAATTTTAGTTTTCAGTTTATATTTATAAAAATTTTAAAAACTCAAATAAAAACTTGTTTGATAAATTTTTGATTTATAAATCAGTAGTCTCAGTTCATAAATTTAGCTAAAAAATGTAAATTCAAAAAACGTGTTTCCGTTTTAAGTTTTGAGTTTTTTTTTTTTTACCACCCAACACTAGCCACTACTCGCCACCATTTTCCACCACTGTCTTCCGCCACCACCACCCACCACCCGCCACTACCATTCACCGCCCGCCACCACCGCTCGCCCCACCTGCCACCACCCACCACCCGCCACTACCATCCACCGCTCGCCACTACCACCCACCACTTACTTGTCACCACCACTCACCACTCACCCGCCACCACTACCACCACCACCAGCCACCACCACCAACCACCTGCCACCACCACCCACCACCCACCGGCCACCCACCACCACCCACACCCACACCACCATCACCCACCCATCACCACCACCCACAACCACCACCGCCACCATCATCACCCATGTCACGACCCAAACCCGCCCCTATAGGTTTAGTATCGTAACCGGCCAGTAATCCTGGGATTACCGAAGGCCCCTGAGACAGATTAACATAATATTAGGGACTAGCAGAAGCAAATAACAATATACAACGTCCGTTGAGCTGTGCAGACTTATATGAGACAGAAAAATTTTAA